TGAATACTGTCACATATGGTGGTAAATGTATGACCTTTTTTTTTTTTTTTTTTTTTTTTTTTGTGACACTGGGATTTAAACCCAGAGTGCTGTACCACTGAGCCACATCTCCAGCCCTTTTTATTTTTGAGACAGAATTTCACTAAGTTGCTGAGAGTGTTTATGGACTTGGGATCCTCCTTCCTTAATCTCCCAAGTAGCTGAGATTATAGCTGAGAGCCACCATTGCAGGCTTATTTTCTTATTTATGATCTCGATCTCTCTCTCCCTCCCCCTCTCTCTCTCCTTGAGATTTCCAAGAGAGACCATATGTTAACTTTGTAATTAGGGGGAAAAAAACATATTTTTGGACACCTGAACAAGCTAATGTGATAGTGGATGGGAAAGGGGAGCTACTCTAATTTGGGTTACGGGTGAGGACTTTCCAAGGAAGGACACTTGAACTCAGACCTAAACTATGAGAAGCAGCCACTGATACACAGGGTAGCCAGCCATTCCAGTTTGCTTGGGATTGAGGGATCTGTGGGGCATGGATCTCTCAGTGCTCAAACTAGGGTAGTCTTGGCCAACTGAAGTGGCAGGTAGTGCACAGCAAGTAACAGGGCCTAGAGTCGGGGGGCAGAGGACAGGGCCATGTAGTGAGAAAGGTTGATTGAGGCAGCTGAAGAGGGAGCCAGATTGAAGCAGGAGACTGGTTGTGGGGCTGGTCCAGTCATCCAGCTGGAGATGATAGTGGCTTGGACCCATGTGGTTGCCAGCAGGGCAGCCTCCCATCACTCCCAGCACTGTGCTGCTCCTCACCCCACTCAACTCTCTCCCTCCTTCCTAAACCAGTGCTTGTTAGCCTCTGAGGAGCTGCTCTGCTAAAGTAGAGGTTCCCAGCAATTGGCCATGTGTGTAGCAAACCCCAATCCTCCTTGCTTCTCAAAGGTGCTTTATCAGTTTTTTTTAAAATTTTTTGAGTTGTATTTTTTATACCGTTTTTATATCTTTATTATTTTTTATATGAGGAACTCATCCAGTGCTAGGCATCACATGTGCTAGGCAAGTGCTCTGCCACTGAGCTACAGCCTCAGCCCTCAGTCTTTCTTTTCAATATTCTCAAAGTACTCAAACACAATAATGCAGTTTTTTTTTTTTTAAGTTATCCATTGATTTTCTCATAGGGCCAGATGGGTAATGTTTTTGAATGCCAAGCTTAAAGTGATTGATTTTTATCTTGGCTGTCTTTGCAGGGTTATATTTAGAGTTGTGCAACATAAATAGACTTAAGACCACTAAATGTTGATCCAGCAGGAGGGCAGGGGTAAAGCAATGCAGCAAGAAGTAGGTATGTTACATTTTAGGTGACAAGGGGTTATTCAAGTAGGAATGTCAATGAGGAGTGTTGGGGGAAATTTAAAAGGTGGGGCTAGATCTTTGTGGCAAGGATGGATCTGTAGATAAAATGCCGGAGTTGCCACAGAAAGGTAGGTTGAGTTAGAGAGAGCCTCGATTCGATTATTCAGTGTTTTTTGAAGGTTTCCTAAGTACTGGGAACCTTATGGAGACCAAGCAGAGGCAGGATCTCTGCTTTCAGGCAGCAAGCATGCAGTCAGGGCAGGAGAAGGGCTATCAGTGAACGAGCCAATGAGCAAAATGATTCCATAGACTGGTAAGAGCTGTGCCGAAATAAAGCGGTGTGATGTGATCTGGCTTGGGGGATGGAGGAGGTTCTCTTTCAGACTGGCAATAAAGGAAGGCCTTTTTGAGTAGGTGACATTCTACCTGAGTCCTGAATGATAGGAAAGAGCCAGCCACAGAAAGGTCTAGGGATAGGGTCCAGATGAGGGTCTGAGGACTAGAGGCTAGGGCTGACCCTGGACAAGCACCACTTCAGCAAGCTGAGATGTGGAAGCAGCAGGGAAGCAAGAGAGGAGTGCCGGTGCACCCTGGGCTGGCTCCACAAGGTAGCACAGTGAGTGCCTTACTGTAGCTGAGTACTCATGGGTGAAGAAACAAACCAGGATAGTGTTCCACCACGATGGCTAGGGACAGAGAATCCCAAGAGGGCTGGCCACGCTCAGTCTGCAAGGAAGTCCAGAAGAAGGTGCATGGTTCTGGTTTTAAGTTTCTGGTGGGCTATCAAAATGTCTGCTCCTTTGAGGGTGCTGAACTCAGACAAATAGGAAGCAGAGGGTAAGGAAACAGGCAGCGTTTTCCCACTCTCTAAGAAGTCCTCGTGAACACTTCATCACTGTATGAATCGCTGCCTTGTTACCTCCAACTTCTCTGCTACCAACTTTCCCTTGCATTCCTGCTTCACTTTCTGTTGGCTTCTAAAGACTTCCATTTCCTCCTGTCTCCTCAGCCCACCACCGCAGGCCAGTCTTGCCTACCTTCAGAGGTGGGGCCTGTTTCTCCCCAGATCCAGGAGCTGCATCTAAAGATTCTTGGGTTGGAAGAAAAATGAGAAGGAAGAGATACTGAAAGTGGTCAGGGTCTTTTTATCAAGAAGGAACGCCAGGGAAAAAGAAAAAGTGGGAGCCGGGTGGTCTGCTGGAAGTCAAGCTCCAGATTGGTGAAGGAATTTTGGCATCATAATTCCAGAGATTTTCCTGGGGAATAATCAGTTGATGAATGAAAGAACTGCTGGGTTCAGTGGTGGTGAAGTGGGGTGTGTTCCCAGCAAAGTCTGCCTCCCTCCTGGCGGCTCTGCCAGCACCCGAGCAGCTGGGGCCAATGGGAACCACTGCTGGTGGAGAATTTGGATGTTAGCCACCAACTGTATTTCAAGAAGGCATTAACCTCATAGCTCCCCTTAGCAGTAAATCAAAGGCTGATTTGTTTTCCTCTCATCTTACTTGTACCTGTCAGAGGCTCATGATTAGTGAGTGTTGCCTGTAGAATTGAGTAAAAGGAATTTTAATCAACAACTTTTCCTAGAATTTAAACTTGGCTCATTACATTTTGAATATAGGCCATGATGAAAAACGAGAGCACTCAGACTTAACAAAGCCTTCCTTTTGTTGGCAGTAATTTCTGTGGAGGTCTTAAATTTTGAGGGGTAAGTATACCCAGATGCAGATTTTGCATTGTTTTTAAGCAACGAGGTCACGATAATATCAAGTAATATTTTTTTAACTAAATGGAAATAGATATTATTTCAGGATCTTGTTTTCTTTAAATATCAGGTTGAAAATGGTGTATTTGTAGCCAACCCACTTCAGGAACGCACAATTCTAATGCGAAAAGAGGGTGAATCTGCCAAAAGCATTAATGAGATGCTTCTGAGTAGACTTTCTCGGTATAGAGCTTCCCCATCAGCGACCCTCGCAGCCCTGACCGGCTCCACCATCTCCAACACGCTGAAAGAGGATCAAGCAGGTAGGTGGCTCTGCCATTTCAGGCCCGTTTCTTGGGATGGTTCCATTCAGCAACTTTTTATTGAGCACTTACTCTGTGCCATCTGAAGTGCTTTACTTTGCAGAGTTCATCTTATATGATCTTCTCCTCATTGTCCAGTTTCATTCCAGGTTAACTCCTGTTGTGGGTTGTGGACATGAATTCATATGAATCTGTAATAACTCAAACAGTCTAGCTTTACCTGTGAATATCTTACCATCATTACTGTTGGGATACATTAATTGATGTCATGTTTAGTGTATGATTCATGAATGTGAAAGATGATATTTAGCATTATGTTCACTAAATTCAATCTTGAGCAGGCAAGAGATATACTGTCTACAATGGAGATTTTGTTATTTATAATTTATCATTTAATTTTTATCATTTAATATTTTAAGATAGATGATATATTTACAAAGTCTGAAGTTCAAAACGATGTGGTAACCTAACACCTATTAACATGTTAATAAGAATGTGTTTTATTAAAAACTTCTTGGTGAAAATGTTAAACCCACATTCACAGAAGTCTTATTCCCACTGAGGTAATCTGTTCTGTGCTCTTCTCCTCTAGTTAACTATAGTTATCAAATTTTATTTGCATTTCCAGGGTTTCTTAATACAAATGCGATTAAAGCCAAATTTATGTTTTCTTTTTTCACCTTTTTAAAAATAAAAGGTATCATATTATAAATGCTGTCTATTCCTTGAAGGCAGGAATTCCTAATTAGGATAAGCCTTTAATGGGTTCATAAACATGCTCTTCCAGTTTTAAATAACATTTCATATATGTCCATCATAATTTTCATCTGATTTTCAACATCCCCCAAAAAAAGTTAAGAACAATTATTCTAAGAAAGTTCACAGCTTATGTATCAACTGCCTTGGTTTATGACAAATCATGAAGTGTAGTAAAAGATAAATTTAGAAAAAGATGCCATATATAGAAAAATGTATCTTAATATGAACTTATTGCAGTTTTATGCTTTAATCTTTTTAGCGTTTGAAACACTAGGAAATAAAAATATTTATGGTTCGTTCATTAGAGACTATTAAATAAATCCTTATTAGTTTTTATTAGAATTTAAGGCTATTATTGTATTGCCTCAGGCCTTGCTTATACTAAACATAAATGAGAAAGTATTAATAGTTGTAACTTGAATGAGTGTGTAATTTGAGTTCAGGAAATACTTTCATAGGGCAGTTCTTTTTCACCTATGTAAATATTTTCATGACAGGATAAATGAAGTGTTTTATTTTCCTCCACATTTTTTATTGGTACATTATAGTTGTGCTTTATGGTGGGATTTGTTGTTACATATCAGCACATGCACACAACATAACAATATAGTTTGGCCAATACCCTCCCTGGCACTTCCCCCTTCCTTCCCCTCTTCTCTTCTCCTCATCCCCTTCCTCTATGCTGTTGGTCTGCCTTTGCTTTTCATGTAATCATCCCCCACCTTTCTTTTCATTCTTCCTCTCTAGCTTCCACATATGAGAGAAAACACACTAACCTTGACCTTCTGAGTTTGGCTTATTTCATTTAACATAAGGTTCTCAAGTTCCACCCATTTTCCTGCAAATGCCAGAATTTTTTTTTTAATGACTGTATAAAACTCTATTGTGTATATGAACCACATTTTCTTTGTCCATTTATTTATTGTTGGACACTTACGCTGGTTCCATAGTTTGGCTACTGTGAACTATGCTGCTATATAAAATGGGTATGCATGTATCTCTGTATTTTGATGACTGTAATTCTTTAGGTTAAATACTGAGGAGCAGTATAGCTGGGTCATCTGGTGGTTTCATGCTTAGTCTTTTGAGAAACCTCCATACTGATATCTCACAGTGGTTGTATTAATTTACAATCCCACCAACAGTGTAAAAGTGTTCCTTTTTCTCTGTCCTCTCCAGCATTTATTATCATTTGTATTCTTTTTAAAATTGGTTCTTTTAATTATACATGATGGTAGAATACATTCTGATAAAATTATTCAAGCATGGACTATATCTTGTTCTGATTAGGATCCCATTCTTGTGGGTACACGATGGTAGGGTATTCACTTAGGTATTTTCATGTATGTACATAGGAAAATTATGTTAGATTCATTCTACTGTCTTTCCTATTCCCATCCTCCCTCCCTTCCCTTCATTCCCCTTTGTCTAATCTACTGGACTTCTCCCCACTCCCTTTATTGTGGTTTAGTTTCCACCTATCAGTGAAAACATTTGACCTTTGGTTTTTGGGGATTGGCTTATTTCACTTAGCATGATAGTCTCCAGATACATTTATAATATCTTGTTTGTATTCTTTTTTTTAATATTTATTTTTTTTAGTTGTAGTTGGACACAATACCTTTATTTTATTAATTTATTTTTATGTGGTGCTGAGGGTTGAACCCAGGGTCCCACACATTCTAGGCGAGTGCTGAGCCACAACCCCAAACCATATTGTTTGTATTCTTGATGACTGCCATTCTGACTGGTGTGAGATGAAATCTCAGTATAGTTTAGATTTGCATTGCTCTAATTGCTAATGGTGTTGAACATTTTTTCATGTATCTGTTGGCCATTTGTATTTCCTATTTTGAGAAGTGTCAGTTCAATTTATTTGCTCATTTAGTAATTGAGTTCTTTGTTTTTTGTTTGTTGTTTTTTGTTTTTTTGGTGTTAAGTTTTTTGAGTTCTTTATATATATATATTCTAGATATTAATCCTCTGTCAGGAGAATAGCTAACAAAAATTTTCTCCCACTCTGTAGGTTCTCTCTTCACATTCCTAATTGTTTCCTTTGCTATGGAGTAGCTTTTTAATTTGATGCCAGCCTATTTATTAACTCGTGGCATTATTTTCTGAGCTTTAGGGTCCCATTGAGAAAGTCATTGAATAGGCTGAATTCTTGATCTTGGTTTGTCTGTTGGGAGAAAATTGAATCCTACCTAAACAATGGACATACTAAGGAGTATCTGTTGGATAAGAAAATATGTGCAATATTAAGAAAAAAAAGACCTCAGAAGGCAAAAGTATATTTAGAGTTCTGTTAAAACTGGTATCTGTATTCAAAACATGTGATCTCATGTACTCTTTGTATTCATTTAATCTGATATTGCTACATTAAAAATTTACCAGCTTAAATGGACTTTTGAATTTTTTTTCTTTTTTCTTTTTTTTTTGACTTTTGAAAATTAATTGAACATTCAGAGGATCTAGAAGTTTCATTCCATGAAAAATTAATACCTATTACCAGGTTCATAAGAATGTTGATTAACAACTCTTAGTGAAAACAAAAAGAAAGAAAAAAAAAAAAAGAAAAAAGAAGACATCTTTGTGAAAATGTTAAGCCCACAAAGTTGCTAAATCTCCATTCATTGCTGTTTTGGGGTTTCTTTCTTTCTTTTTTAATATTGTTATTGTTGATGGACCTTTATTTTATTTATTCATTTACATGTGGTGCTGAGGAGATAACCCAGTGCCTCACCCGTGCTAGGCAAGTGCTCTACCACTGAGTCACAACCCCAGCCCAGGGGTTTCTTATTTATGAAAATTTATGCTAGGAATTTATGTCCTGAATTAATAATATATTTGGTGTGGGTTACAGTTTTTTTTTTAAATGGTGCTTTTTAGAAGTACAAGTATTCAAATATCAGACAGATTAGGTTTCACTTTACTCATTTTTCTGATCTAAACTATCTGAAAATGATTTGACATCCATCTAAGCTATAAGTTCTGTTTTACAGCCTGATCGTTACCCAAGTCAAGTGCTCTGCTTCATTTTCTGTTGACATCAACAGTCTTTACTAGGCTAATATATGGACAATCCTTAATTCACTCCAGGGCTGGGGGTGCAGCTCAGTGATAGAGTGCTTGCCTAGCATGCACGAGACCCAGCACCACAAGAAAAACAAAACAACACATCTTTGGAAACTTCACTGTAGGAGAGGGAAAGGGTAATACTAGGGAATGATATTGGCCAAATTATATTTTTGAATATGCAACAATGGTATGTATTATGTATAATTATAATGTGCCAGTAAGAAATACAGAAAAAAAAATTCACATCACATTTCAGCTGTGCCAATAAGGGAGATTGTAGTATGCTTTATACCTCTTGATTAGAAATAAAAATTATTTTATTAATGATTATTTATGCCACTGAACATGAATAAAGAAATATGTTTAATAGATTATCATAAATTATGTAGGTATTATTTTGTGATAGATGTTGTGAAATCTTTTACTAGGTTGAAACTTTTGGTTGATTAAATATTTGAAATTATTTGTAATTAATATAATATCACGGGGCTGGGGATGTGGCTCAAGCAGTATAGCGCTCGCCTGGCATGCATGCGGCCCAGGTTCGATCCTCAGCACCACATACAAACAAAGATGTGTCTGGCGAGAACTAAAAAATAAATATTAAAAAATTCTCTCTTTCTCTCTCTTAAAAAAAAGTGATAAAAAAAGAGATTAATATCCAGAATATAGGACCAGGATATATATAGCTCAGTGGCAGAGGGCAGAGTGCTGACCTAGTATACAGGAGGCCCTGGGTTCAAGCCTCGGGAGAGGGAGACTAACATGTTAATATGCAATATAATATCACAAATATATCAAGAATTTGTTCTATGTAAAATGAAAAGAAAAAGAATATTTAGTAGAGTATTAGTTTCCTCAGGAGAACACAAGTAGGATTCTTATTTTGAGATTTAATCCATGTGAGGATTCATTCTTTTGAAAGGATTTTTAGAATCAGGAAGGAATTGAATATTGGGAACACCTTTAAGAAATGGTCATAACAGCTCTTAGATGGATGCCTAGACATCAGAACTTTTCCAACTGGAGCAAGATAGCTCTTCATGCCTGTGCATATGAATTGTAGGCACATTTGCACCAAATTCATTGAAGAGCTGCTGAAAATTCTTATCAACACCTCTAACCAAAAGCCGCACCCAAGTTACACTACCAAACAAAAGTATGTTTTGGAAGTTAGCACTGAAGAGGCAAGAATCCAGATTTGGTTTCAGAGTCACAGAGCTAGGCACTGATTCCAGATAATGCCAGAACTTAAGGAGACTTTGGAATCAAGCCAAGGCTCTGGGTGAGATCACCTTTGGGAACAGATTCAGAGGTCAGACAGTGTTGTGCCACCTACAGCCCCTCAGCTGCTCACCCTCATCAAGGCCTTCACGGACAACCCCTACCCTGGGATTCATTCCAGAGAACAGCTTGCTAAGGAAATCAGCCTTCCTGAGACCAGAGTCCAGCTTGGTTTCAAAATAGACCTAGTGTGCATAGAAAAAGAGAACCTGATGAATCCTTCCAACAGCTTCAGGGACAAGGTCTCTGTCACAGATCAAGGTATAGAAGACACATAAAACGGCACCAACTTGAGCCCTTGTGATCCAGTCACTTCCCAAAAACCCCACCTCTGAACACTACTGCAGGACCCAGCCTTCAACACAGAGCATTTGGGGAAACTTTCAGATCCAAACTATAATGGTAACATTGTTGCTGGTAACCAATTTCCTTCTCAAACTGAAAAGTACTTTGGCATTAGTGGAAGTAGGGCAGAATTAGTTCTGGTTCTACCTGCTAGACACATTGCCAGTATGCTTCATCCTCTGCCCTCTCTCAGTTCCTGTTAACCATCTGTGTGGAGTTTAAAAGTGTTTAAGAGAAGACAGAAGCAAGGCTGATCCCCAAGAGCAAGGTAGGAATCTTGTATTCTGAAATATGTATGTGGAACAGTGTCTTATTCAGGCCAGAAGCAGAACTTAACTCTGAACTCAATTTGGCCAGATGTCCTGCCACCTGTATCAGTGACCTACTGAGAGTCAGCAGTCATCACCAAGGTGCAAGGAGATGCACTTGGAAATTACTACTGAGGAAGAATTGGATCCTTCTGGCTTATTCAACAGAAAAGTCCAGTGGCACCAGTTGGCCAGCAACTCAAGTTAGAACATGGTGAACATAGAGACAAATCCAGCATATTTGATATCATCACTCTGGTCCCTAAGGCTTTTAAGTCTTTCTGGGAGTGTCCCCTCCTGATGGGACTTTAAGCCAAGCCTTCTGGAGATGATAAAAGATTATAAACAGGACTTCAGGAGGCAGAGATAGGCACCAAAGGCCCCGCACAGTCCTTCAGATCCAGCCTGGCTTTGGAGTTCATCAGACTTTGAGACAAAGAAAATAAACTTAGTAATTAAATAATTTTTCAGTAATTACAATAAAAACTGATTCAGGCAAAAATCATTAATTGACATTAATAATCTTAAAGTCAAAATTTGAAGAACAAGATGTACACCATCTGGAAGAACTTCCTCACTCATTTTTTTTTGATAAATAAAAATTGAATATTAAAAAAAGAAGGAAATGGTTATACCATATAATAGAAGTCTTGGTCAGACTCTGAAGCAAGAAAATAATTATTTTTTTCATTAGTAAGTTTAGGTATATCTTTGTTTTTGTTTGGGGATCCTCCATTATATGCTAATCTGGTCTCATAATCAAATTAATCTGTGTCAGGTATTTTTACTCAGCATTTTCATTTTCTTCTCCAGCAAATACTAGCTGTGGGCTACCTCTGAAAATGCTCCGGAAGACACCCATTTATACCTGTGGCACATACCTGGTCATGCTGGTCCCACCTCCAGGGGGATCAGGCAGCTCAGCCACTCGTTCTCTTTTTGGTGGAACAAGTGGCTTGTCATCTTTAAAAAGTAAGTGAATTTCATTTATGACACGTTCCCTGATTTATCTCAAACTCTGAAATTTAAGACTTTCTTATTAATTAGTTTAAACTACTCTGTTAAACACTTTTTTTGCAATAACTCTCTGATAACACAAAATAATAATTATCAATGTCATTATAAGTCAGGAGAAAATTTTAAATATCTAATGTTTAAGCTTATTATAAATATGTTTTTATTTACTTATTTATTTTTGGTGCTGGGGATTGAGCCTTGTGCATGCAGAGTGCCTGATGCCCCACACCTGCTTATTCTAGACATCTTTCATATGCTTATTGGCCATTTGAATATCTTCTTTTTAAAAAAAAATTTATTTTGGTACCTGGGATTGAAACCATGGGTGCTTGATTACTGAGTATAATCCCCAGCCCGTTTTAAAATATTTTATTTTGAGACAGGGTCTTGCTAAGTTGCTGAGGCTGGCTTTGAACTCATGATCAGTTCCAGAGCCGCTGGGATTGTAGGTGTGCGCCACTGCTCCCAGCTATGTGTGTCTTCTTTGGAGGAATATCTATTCAAATGCTTTGTCCATTTTTAAATTGGGCTATTTGTCTTTCTGCTGGCCATTAATCCTATTAAACTTTTTTAGTCTCCTTAGCATGTTTTTTCATTCTATTGAAATTGGCCCCACTTGATTAAAGCAGGTCTAAATGGTGCCATGTTTTTTCAGGAGGGTATAGTTGACACAGTGATTCTGTTTTAGTCCAACAAATGGGTAGATGCTTAAATTTCCCTCTGCCATGTTCCACATTGGTTATTGTGAGAGCTGCTCAGTACAAGGAAGAACTGGTGTTTGCCTTTAGGAGCTCCTAGTCTAGTCAGGAGAAATCGTAGAGATGTGTGAAACAACTAGAAGACGGTAGATGGTGCTGTCTCACTGCTCAAAGCATGGGGAGCAGATGTACATGCTGCAGAATCAAAGAAGGGATCATGGTGGAGTGGGACAGGAAGGAAAGACTCCCTGAGGTCTTGAGTGTCAAGCATGGAGAACAGGTATTACTCATAGAAGTGGTCAAGTGGAGGGAAAGCAAATATGCACAATGAAAAAGAGATTTGGGGGAAGATAATTTTGTTGGTGTGCAGGGTGGAATAGTAGAAAATAGAGAAGAAAGAGTATAGATTAGGGTATGACTCAAATCAGATGGATGAGGATCTAGATCACTAAGGTGATGGGAACAAGAAGAAGAAACACATTCAAGAGACACAGTGCCAGAATTTTATGTTCTAAAATAGGGAAGAAAACAGGATGTCACTACTAGTAACTTACACATAGGTTTCATGTTTTAAACTCATCTTCACAGTCAGTGTCAAGTAGTTACTTTTATTGTTATCTCCACTTTATAGATGAGGACCCTGAGAGGTTCAGTAACTTTCCCAGGGTCACCCAGAAATGGTAGAGCTGGTATTCAAACCCAAAAACCTGAAGCCATTGCTTTCCAACAGTCCTCCACCCTGTGTTAAGGGTAGAGGCTTAAGTGCCTGCTAGTGTCAAAATCTGACTTTGAAGGAGAGCAGTTGAGCCATTGTATGTCTACCCGCCATTACTGAGCACCAACTTAAAAGTGAAGCTTCTTGTGAATGTTGCTGCCTTGTGAGGTTAATAATCATAACCACTCGTGCAGTTACCCTTTTGATAATCCATGTTGAAAAAACTTTCATGAAGTAGTTACTATTTTAAAAACACTTTAAAAAACATTTCATTATAAATTTTTGTTTGTTTTTTTTTGTGGTTTTGGGGACTGAACCCAGGGCCTTCAGTAGGCTAGGAAGGTGCTCTACCACAGAGTAGCATCCCTAGCCTTTCTTTTCTTTTTTTTTTTTTTAAAGAGAGAGTGATAGAGGGAGAGAGGGAGAGGGAGAGAGAGAGAGAGAGAGAGAGAGAGAATTTTTTTAATATTTATTTTTTAGTTCTCGGCAGACACAACATCTTTGTTTGTATGTGGTGCTGAGGATCGAACCCGGGCCGCACGCATGCCAGGCGAGCGCGCTACCGCTTGAGCCACATCCCCAGCCCCATCCCTAGCCTTTCTGATCTTATTTTGAGAAAGGCTACAAGTTGGCCTCAAAATTGTGGTCCTCTCCATCCTCCCCAGTACTCAGGACCATTACTAGGTGTGCACCATGCCCAAATGAATTTTAAATGTATGAAGATATTGTGGTGATAGTTTATTTTAGTGGTCTTGCATATTTTCTGCCTCCTCATTGTTATCACCAGTAGAAAACAACAAAAAAGGTGTGATTTTAATAAAAGGCTTTGTATTAGCATTTCATTGCCATGACATAGACAACTTTACGGAGGAAAGGTCTACTTTGATTCACCATTTCAGGGGCTCTAGTCCATGATTAAATGGCTCCATTGCTTTGGGTCTGAGTTGAAGTAGAACATCTTGGTGGAAGGGCATGGCAGAGGAAAGAACTCAGCTCATTGTAGCCAGGAAGCAGTCAGAAAGGGACTAGAGACAAGATAAAGTTCCCAAGGGTATACCCCCACTGACTTTCTTCCTCGCTGTACCCCACTATGTTCAGTTTCTACCACCTCCCAGTAGTTCATTCAGTCATCAGTGGATGAATCCACTGGTGTGGTCAGAAGCCCTCAGGATCCAGTCATTTCCTACAAGCTCCACCTGTGGGGCTAAGACTTCAACACATGGGTCTTTGGGGGACACTTCATCTGCAAACTCTTACAATCTTTGAAAAGTAGTCTTTAGGCTCATTAAATAGCTTACTGTTTGTTTCCAAAGTCCTAGCCTCCAGCTTGGTATATAATATTTCGGATGGTCAGTTCACAAGTCGTGCGGATCTCATAGATGCTGCTGGAAGTTCACTGGGGCGTGGTGCTCTTGTACCAGGATTGGGTAAGAAATAAATGCACATGTTTCCTTAGAAAATTCAAAGGTTCTGCAATTTGGAAATATCTTGTCAATTCCTGTGGCATTCTAGTTTTTCTGAAAAGAATTTTAATACTACTCTTTAATTTGAGGAATTAATACAAGAAATTGCCATGTGTAAAATTCTCTGCATAAACTGCTATTGAAAATACTGTCTCTTAGGTCCTATGATGATGCCTACAACAAATTCTCAAAGTTTCTGCCATAAAAAAGTTCCTGTGAAGAATATGCTTAGTAGAGAACGAACGTGATGTAATATGTTGCATTATTTTCTTTGTTTGGCTCCTAGGAAGCTCATGTCTAAGTTTTAGGCTTAATTACTAAGGCTTTTTGTTGTATGTATTGTTAGTTGGTCCTCTTTTTACCTAGGTTTTTAATGTAAGCCACTTAAACCCTTTTTGGAAGTAGGTCACATGTAAATCAGTTGCTAAGAACTATATGCTTTGCAAGACTTATTCCTTCTCACATAGGAGTTAAGCAAAACTGAAAATTAAATCCTGGCCTCTTGCTGAGTCCCAGTCTAGCACTTTGCCAAGGAAATCTGTGAGAGCAGAGATGTGGTTGTCAGCATTAGAATCCTTACCCTTCCATCCTTTAGCAGTGCTTGTAAGAAACATGTGTACAGGCAGCTGGCTACACAACAGCTAAATAATGTCTGTACTCCACAGGCGCCTGTTATGATACAGTGAACAACATGCTGTGGACATGCTCAAATGATTACATCGATCAGTGGTGTAATCCTGGGAATCAAGCCTTCCATTATGTGTGCCAGAGGCTGGGAGTCAGCCACATCATCACTGAGCCTAAAGGTGAGGCGCACTCTTGGTCCTGCACTAAGATCCCACCCACAGACTGCAGCAGCACCTAAGTAGGTAGGGACATGGAGCACCGACAAATGCATCCCAGCCTCCCCTTGGAACTTAGGAACCCACAATCCTTTGTTATCTTGATCCTGAAAGGTTGGTTTATGCTTAAATAAGTATGTAAATAAATAGAGGTATTGAAGTAGTCCATAGAATTTTTCAAAGAGAAATCCATATGTCCCTCCATTGTCAGAACTTTAGTGTAAGAGTTTATTATTGTATTTGGCTTGGAATTATATGCTGTTATAATGCTTTACATTGATAACAACTTATTCATACCTAAACTTAGATTTACCAATGAAGGATCTTTGTTTCTTAAAATTCTTAATATTCACTTAAAATCTTGTGACTTTAAAGTCAGCTAGATTGGTGTGGAAGAATGAAGAGCTCAGCAGTTTCATTCCCCATAAAGCAATCCTAAAACAGACAAATTTGTTAAAAATAACCAGACTCTGGAAATTGGTCAAAGACACACCAAATTGAGAAGTGGCTCCAGTCCTGTGGTGATCTTAGCTGGAACTGCTCCCATCCCGCATTCAAGTTTGTTCAGCACAGCAGTCCTGGGGGAAGAGGCAGACTGTGAAAAGCAGCAGTTTTGCTGCCAGAGGGGCTGACTTGATTTGGAGCAGAGCGGAGAAAATCTCACACCAGTAGTAGTGGTAGCTTTGGTGACACACAGAGAAGGCCAGTGGCTCAGCTTAAATTATGACCCTGGTTAGCACAAGCAGCAGATCAGCATGCTAGCTAGAAATTTAGTAGTGAGGTTTGGGGACCTTGACAAGCTCCTTGCACATCTACACAGAAGAGGGCTGGGAGAGGCCCAACTGTTCAGACGTCTCTGCTCAACATGAGCCTACATAGATATACAGAGATGTGAGATGTCCCAGCAGAAAGTAGAAACTGGATGGAGTGTAACAAGGCCTGAACTTTGATGCCTTCTTGCAAAATACATAGCTCCATTCAGGATGGAAGTGTTACTGGCTCAAGGCTCACGGTACTAATTGTTGGTTGACAATGAACAGGGATATCCCCTGGGAAGCTAGACTTAAAATTCAAAACAAGGGCTGAAGATGTAATCAGTGATAGAGCACATACTGAGCATGCACGAAGCCTTGGTTTCAATCCCTAGAACCTAAATAAATAAATAAATAAGATAATAAAAATAAATGAAAAAAAGAAAGAAGGCTTTCAAAAACGACTCAAGCAGAGAAATCAGTAAACATACACTGCAGGGAAATGCATATTGTACTTAGCACATGTAGTTGTTAAGCAGCCATAATACATAATATGTCTGAAGAACTGAAGGGAACCATGTCTGAAAAGATTGAACAAGCAGAAAACTTCAATAAAGAAATTATTTAGGACTGGAAATGTAGCTCCGTGGTGGAGCACTTGCCTAGCTTAGGGGTTAATTTCCAACATCAAAAACAAACAAACAAACAAAAACCAAACAAAATCAAAAAGAAAAAAGAAGAAAATGGAAATTCTGGATTTAAAAAGTAAAGAGACATTCATTAGAGTAGCTCAGCAACAGATTTGAGTTGGTGGGAAAAATAATCAGAAAACTTGGAACAAAGAATGCATATCAGTTTGGGTTTGTCTGATGTTTTCTCATGATTAAACTGAGGTTGTGGATATTGGGGAAGAATTACAACAGAGCTGATGCCCTCTTCACGTTACATTATATTCCAGAATACATGTTTACTTGATTTATTACTAGTGATTTTTAAATTGATCACCTGGAGCTGGGGCTGTAGCTCAGTGGTAGAGCTCATGCCTAGCACGTGTGAAGCCTTGGGTTGTATCCCCAGCACTGCAAAAAATAAAATTGATCCTTTTGTTTAAGTAATGTCTACCAGGCTCTTCCACTGTGAAGTTACTGCTTTTCACTTTCCATATGCATTATTAGAAGCAAGTTTTTAAGTCCAGACCACTCTCAAGGGAAGAGGAACTAAGGTCCACCTCCTAGAAAGAATATTATCAGAGAATTTGTGGACAAATATCCTAATCATTACCATAATTAATAAATATTTAAGGGCAGGGGTTGTGGCTCAGTGGCAGAGCGCCTGCCTTGCATATGTAGGGCATTGGGTTTGATCCTCAGTACCACATAAAAATGAATAAATAAAATAAAGGTATTGTGTCCATCTACAACAAAAAAAATTTTTTTTAATTTTGAATTGTGTTTTATGGTATTCAAATTATATCTTCAGAAAGCTGTCCCCCCTCCCACCAAAAAACAAACAAACAAACAAACAAACCAAAAAACCAACAAACCAACCAAACAAAAAATAGCAAAAGAAGAGAGAGTCACCTATTTATTAGTGGCTCCCAAGTCTCTCGCCTACACTCCAGACTACGCATTCACCTTTACTTGGTCATCTAGTAAGCATTTCCATCTAAACATGTCAAAACAAACTCCCTATTTCTCTTTTTCTCAAAATTTGTACCTAGAAGTCTTTCATATATTGGTATATGGATTCCCATTCTCTCATATGCTCAGACTGAAATTTTATTTTTTCACTTATTTGTAACTATGTTGTAAGGTAATGTATAAAAAGCATTTAGCTCATTGCTCAGCATAAAAAAAACAGGCTCAGTGAATGGTAACTACTTCTGTTCTTAAAGAATTGAAATTCCCAAGTGTTTTCACCCCTGCACTCTGTGGTGGAACACTCTGTTCTCCAGCAGCAGTGGAAGAGACAGGAGCCAAGTAGTCTTTCCTGATTGATGTACACGCATGCTCTGTTCCTCAGGGGCCATCTATAGTACATCTTTCCTCACCGAGTCTCCATCTTCTCTTCTAGAAGAGGCTATAACCACAAATGAGGTTATAAACCAGTTACTGCACCACGTTGGTGCCATGTGCATACACCAGCTCAATCTCTTGGCCACCAACCCCAATCTTCCCATCACAAGTGTCTTGGGCAAGCAGCATCCAATTGAAGCCCACCATCTGAGCAGCATTTGTGACATCATGGAGAAGGCCATGGTTAACGGAGATACCTGTATCATACGCTGCATTCTCGTTGTCTTTCAGGTAAATAACACTGATGTGAGGTAAGAAAGTGGTAGAGAAAAAAACACAAACCTCAGCTTTAGCCAGCTAATTTCTACCAGAGTAAGAATTCAATAACATTCCTGTTTGCCACTTTTTAGTCATATAATTAGAATCATATTCATTTCACTGCAATTAACAGAATATTGCTATATTTAGCTTATTGCAATTAATATATGTAAAATATTTACTATAATTATACCTTTACACAAGAGATAGCAGTTAATAATCTACCCAGTTGTCTACTTATAAGAGTATCTAAATGTGATTTCTTCAGGAGAATAATTTTATCCCCAGTAGAATGAGCACTTTTAGACATACCCCTTCTGTTTCTGTAGGTGGTGTTTAAATTTTTCTTCAGCCCACAAACTGAAAGGAACCGAGACATCATTCGACGGTCAGGACTTCTTCTATGGCAGTTGTTGATGGCACCAAAAGATCAAATCTGTCCTGAAATTCAGAAGGAAGTCTGTCTTGCCATCAGGTAAACAGCAAATCCTTTTCTTAGTGCTCTCTGTAAAATTATCCTCCTGCAAGGCTTTGCATTCTTTCCTGCAAGCTGTTAGCAGCCCAGTCTTGGTGCATTGGGAATGATATATAGATAGGGATTTGAGCTAGTCCTTCTGGGCCAAAGGCAACTGTGCACCTACATTTCTTCATCCCACCTTTTGAACCTTAAAATGAAAACAAAATCCCTGTTAGTGGACAGTGTGTTGCAATCAGACGTTCTCATTGGAAGTGTTGCAGTGTGGTTAGGAGTAGCTTTGGCAACCAGCAACCCTAGGTTCTAGTCTTTTCTCCACCCCTTACTCACTGAGACCTTGGTTTGAAGCTTCCATTTTCTCAGCTATTCAACGGGTTTAAAAATAGTACCCATTGTGGGGTCCAGTGGCACAGGCCTATAATCCCAGCAGCTCCCTAGGCTGAGGCAGGAGGATCGTGAGTTCAAAGCCAGCCTCAGCAAAGGTGAGTTGCTAAGCAACTCAGTGAGATCCTGTCTCTAAATAAAATACACAATAATCCTGGGGATGTGGCTAAGTGCCCCTAAATTCAATCCCTGGTACCCCCTGCCCCCCCCCAAGTACCTACTAGCTAGATGAGTTGGTGTACCCCTGCAATCCCAGCAACTCAGGAGACTGAGGCAGGAGAATCACAAGTTCAAGGCCAGCTTTGGCAACCTTGACTCAAAGTGGACAAAACAAATAAAAACATCTATTGTCTAGGTTTGTGAGGTTCTCATAAGAGAAGGCCTGTTGTAAGTTATATCAACCATGTTGACCTTTATTAACCTGATTAAAATCTTGTGAATTTATTGACCATTTTCTATTGTCATTTAACCTTTTTTTTTTTTTTTTGGTGAACTTTTTATCTAAGAGGGTAGCCTTAATGTCACCAAGTCTGGTTTAGTAACCAAGAGAGAACTGAGTGGTTGATTTGAAAGAGTCATATGGTAGGGGTGAGCACAGAGGGCAAGGAATTCTTTTTCTTCCACAGTAGATTATATTTCAGATTGTTTTCTGTTGAGCATTAAATCAGTATTTGAAATCTGGTGCCATATTGGGCACAGTGCCACATGCCTGTAATCCCTGCAGCTCAGGAGGCTAAGGCAAGAGGATCATCACTTCAAGACCAGCCTCAGCAACTTGGTGAGGCCCTAAGCAACTTAGCAAGATCCTGGCTCAAAATAAAAAAGGGCTGAGAATGTGACTCAGTGGTTAAGTGCCCTTTGCGATAAGTCCCCAGTACAAAAAAAAAGAAAAACATCTGGAGCCATGAGGAAGGTTGTAGAGGTGATGGGTATATTCACTGTCTTTATTTAGGGTGGTTCTATAGGTATATATGCATGCGAGTTATTAAATTGTGCACTTTAAATATGTGTACTTCATGTCAAACTTCAATAAAAAAAGAATAAGGAAAAATTCTTATACTATTTGTCATTCTATGCTTCCAGCCTTTTTGGAAAAACCAAGAATCCTTTTCTTGAGTGATGGGGAGAAGGGGCACTCGAGACACAATCTGTTCTATAACTGGCTCAAGTGTACTGACTTTTCATCACTTACCAGTTCTGCATGGCACCTCACACAAGTTATCATGTTAGTAATTCATAGACAGAAGGAGGAGAGGGATCCTGTTTTTCAGGGAAGAGATTGGACTAAATCATGACAGTGAATTTAGGTTCAAATGCTGTTTTAGTAATGAAAATTAAAAATAATTAAAAATGCTTACTTCAGATATATATAATCAGGATATTTTTTCTTTTTTTCTTTTGTGGTCTAGGGATCAGACCCTAGGCTTCACTCATGCAAAGCAAGTGTTGTGCCACCAAGCTACATCCCCAGCCCTCAGTTTTATGTAATCAAACTGTCACCTTTAATAAAAAGAAAAAATTTAATATTTAGAGATTCTAAACATTCTTTTAAAAACTTTTTGACTTTTCTGTCATTTCAGCTCTGGTTTAAATATCTTGTACCCAGGCGAAACTGAAATCAATAACTTACTTAAGTTGGTCTTAACAGAAGGTGAGAATTATCTGTTAAATTATCCTTGAACAACTATTCTTTTTTATCCATAAGGAAACAACTGGATGATAAGATAATAGATTCTTATTTCTTATCTGTTATCATATTTTAAAAATGTATTTGCATAGATACCAACACCTTAGCCAGACTGAATGCAGAAATCATGTTTTATGTATTTTTAAGCTTTATAAGCCCATCTATTTCCAAGGCTTAACTTCATATATCAGGCTGTAGATATTTACCAATTAAAAATAATGATTTTGGGGTGATTTCTAACTATTTTTTCACACATTAAATCCAACTTTTCAAGTTGGACTGAACAACAATAACAAAGGTATGTTAAAGATACTATGCATTTAAAAGCAAAATTAATTGGAGGAATTACAAATCACACTTCATGATAGATCAAGAAGGTAGTCACACTTAAATCAAGAAGCTCTGGCTAGAAACAGTTTCCAGTTGGTTGCAATGTAGTTTTGCCTCTGTTGTTTTATATGTATCTGCCATACCTGGTGCCCCTTGGTGGTTGACTTATACTTTGTTTAAAAACTTTTAAAAAATAACATCAGTTTTCTAAGTGCTGTTTATCAGGGTACTTTATGGAGTTTTGTTGTGTGTTAGGAGAGAGAAACAGTGGACTGTCCCAGCTTCGAGATGTGATCCTAACCAATTTAGCTGAACAGCTTCAAAACAACCGATTTGGCAGTGATGAAGATGATCATTACAGGTGACACCAGTTATGTTATTCTGCTAGTCTCTTCTTTGTGTTCTTCTGAATACTTAATTTAAATGTGTTTGATCAGTGTTTGTCTCTAGTTATAGCTAATGGGGTCATTACCATGTTAAACCTGAAAAGACTGGATCAATTGAAAGATAACAAATTCTACAGTTGTCCTAAGAACTGATAATAGGACATGTAAGTTATATTAGTAAAGTAATTTGGGCTCAGGGAAAGTACTTAATAAAAATACGAGTGGAACTCATTCCAAAAATCTTAGTAGAGAAGCAGTGCAAATTGATGAACTATGAAAGAAGCTATGTGTGTTAGAGCTGGGGAGAGGGAATGAGATGTCATTTTTCTGTGCTATTTATAAAATACTTTGATTAGGTGATTGGGTACCATTTTGCTATGTTTGGCTTAGATATTACCTAGTTGCTAGCATTGTTATTTAATAAGATGAGTTGCTTGTAGAGTCAATTAATTTTGTATCTTGTATTTGTTATCTCAGACCAATTATATAAAAGTTATCCTTTTACTAATAAACCATCAACATTTTATTGTTACATTTCTCCTGCATTTTAAAGACTAAATGATGAACTTTTACACTACATTCTGAAGATTGTTGTACGAGAATCCTGTATTTTAATCACCAAGTGCCAAACTGTCTCTAAAGATGATTTTCAAAAGCTCCTTTCAACTGTGCCTGTAAGTAAAAATGTATTTACTGAAAGCACAATTATATCAAATGTCCCTGTTTTCATTTTATTCTACTGAGAGGTGTGTGTGTGGACACACAGTCACTTTACAAAGATAGACTGAAAATAATTTATGAAAGTCAGTGAATGATTGTTCTTATGCTAGAACTATAGACTTAGAAAAATCCACTTGAAGTGCTTTTTACTAAGACTTCATTACAATTTATGGCTTGATGCAATAAACTGTTTGACTGAATTTGGGGGTTTTTCTTTTATCTAATGAGGGTCCCCCTTCCTCAGTAGTTTAGCATTGTTTTCTAAACTATTAGTGTTTTGCAGAGACTGATAGGAACTAAAAGGTTTTTAAGGGTTTGTATAGAGTCTTCTATGGGAGATGGGGATGGGGAAAAAAGAAAATACTTATACAAGAGGAAAGATTTGTTTGAATGACTAGTGAGGATTGTGCAACAGAAGACAAACAGTAAATGTGTCCAAGTCTGTCATTGAAAGCCATGTGTATGCAAATCACTTGAGAAACTAACTTGGTCTGTTTTCTATACTTTCTCTTTTTGTTTCTCTTGTCAAAATCTTTTGAAAACATGAGGATTACATGATCCCTTCTTTGAGTAGGGTTAGATCATTTAAATGCCCTTGTTTGTATTAAAGGCTGCATCCTCCTGCCTGCGCTATCTGATGGCAGTTCAGAATCACCTTCTCAGTAACACTATTTTGATTAAACCTGATGAGAACGATGACAGTGACAACTCCTTGCAGGGAGAGACATTGAAGGTACAGGTAAACACCAAGCTTGATTTTAACAATGCTTTCTACCCAGTATGTGAAGCACAGCTTACTCAGCTAAATCTCTGTGTATTATGATGTCAGAATTCACCATGTAACCTATATTCTTGTGAGAGGTATTAGGCCACTCATTTCATAGATCTTTATGTCATTGCACAGTAATTACCATATTTGTGACACTTTCATAATGTGTCATCCATGTGCTCCTGTCAGTCTTTTCGTGCCTTCGTTTATTTTCATCTTTTAGGAACTGTAAAATATGGCACTCACAAGTGATCTCATCACACCTGCAAGATATATAKATATATATATATATGTTTATGTACATCTACACGCACATACATACATGCACACACATAAACACATACGTACATATATATGTATATATAAAAATCTGATAGCATAACATTTTAAACAGTTTTGATATTTTGAATGGATTATTATAGTTTCAACCCAGATAACTTTAAAAGGTGATAATTTTATTTCAATATTGTATTAAATAATTTAATTTCTAAACCTATATAGTTAATTTCATTTTGTTGTTAATTTAGGTCAGCTTCTATGTAAACTTGATTATCTGTTCCTACAGGACAAAAATTTATAGCAGTCCAAAGACTTTTTTCTAGCAGTGGTTATAACTTTGACAGATATCCAAGGTGGTTGTTTGCATTATACAAATTTCATCTCTGTGGGAAAATTAGAGAAATCAATGAGAACTTCATTCTTTACACTGTTGACTTGAACACACTGGAAAATCTCCTGAGGAAGCCAAATAAACTGTGGCAGTTTGCTCTTTCTTAGTCCTTTATGCACATGTATTGTATAAACCAGATGTGCTAGTTTGCATTCACGAGTTTGTCTCCTATGACCAGTTTTTAAACAGTGGACATGCATGAATTTTTAATTTGAATTATTGATACTATTTATTTAAATTTTCTTGCCTGGTTGTTAGATAATCACTGATACTATGAGTGTGACTTCAAGCACAGTTCAGCTCATTCTACAGGTCAGAATTCCTTTTGTTTTAAAGATAAAAGTTATTATAATAATACAAAAAAGACCCTAGGAAATCCCAACAACAAAAAAATGGGTGTTTTTTTTCCTATTTGAAAGGCTAAATTTCATAAATCCTTAATTAAACCATGGAGAGAAATATAGATTCTTAGTAAAGGTAGAATAGGTTCAATTGTCTAGTATTTCAGGGAAAAATGTGAGAACACATAGATGTCACCTAAAGTTAGTTTGGTCGTATTTTTTAATAGAAAATATTTGTAAACATTTCTATGATATTAACTAGTGTTTCTTAAATCACTCATTGGTATTCCCAGGAATTCTTAATTTTTAATGTTTAATAGCCCATAAGCACCTGCTGCTTTAACTGAATTTTTTAACTTGCTGAATTTTAAGCATAATAGGTTTAAAATATTAAGTGAAAGGTCACTTGTACTTTTTCAGAATGTTGTGTTTTTGTCTCATTTTATCCACCGCCTATACATGCGCCTTTTACTGTTCTGTTTTTCTCTTTAGCTATCCTCATACCACCCAAGGCAATCTTCCACCTGGAGTTTCTGGGCTGGCCACCAGGCGCTCTCTTGTGCTGGATGGGATGGGAGCTAGGCCTTTTCTCCTAGGCACGCAGTGTGCTCCCTGTGAGATACTGCATATTTCTGTCCGCACTCCAGACCTTAGCCTTCCAAATTAATTGCTACTGGCCATCCCAGAGGAACTTACTGCTTTGGGCTTATTTTGGCCACCTCATCATTTCATTTGAAAATGCATCATTAAATACATCATTTCATGTTGTCATTGTGAGGGACTGTTCATCACAGACCTTAAAAATAATATTATGATGTTTTCTACCTAGGAGCTAAAAGTCAGTATTTTGGCTCTTGCCACCCAAATCCTGACTGGATGTGATGAAGTGTTGGAAATGCTACAGCAGGTCACCACTGCCCTCATAAACAGTGACATAGCAGATCGGGAGCAGAGGTGAGGAAATGGATTGGAAACTGACTTGCTGCTCTTTAGGAAGAAAAATCTGCTTATAAAAGTGAAACCTTTTTAGAATGGAACATCAAATGTTTATTCAATATAGAGGCATTTTTGAGAGAATAGATTGAAACAGCAACTGTTTCAAAGCCAAATGCCATTCAAGTCTTTAGAATGCTTTTAGGTAAGATTAGGCCATCAGCCACATTCCAGGGCCCTCCACTCTGATTTTTGGAACTTCTATCATCACTCCCCAATTGGCCTTTCTTATAATTGTCTAGCTTGGTGCCACACCCACTTACTTTCAGGAGGAGAAGTGGCTTAGTGATACAGATAATCAGCTACTGTACAAAAGATGATGTTAACATGATATCTCAAGACTTTACTGAAAGTTGATTTCTTCAAATATAGGAGTGACCAATATAGGGAGTAACCTTCCCTTCACAGAAACAAGTCCCTTTCTTAGCACTTCACATTAAAATTCCTGCTATCATTTGCTATTACAAATGAGTTGCGTACTATGTTTTTTGAACATATGAATGTTAGAGAGATTGATCTAAAACAATCCTGCAGTGTAACTTTTGTTTCAGTACTTTTGTCGGTTCCCACATCCTTGGTTTTCACCAACTTCCAGAGAGTAAATGGGAGTTGGGGGCTGAGACCAATATAATCAGATAGGTGTTGCCTTGAGGCTTATTAAAATATGTAGCCTGGAGACATGAGGTCTACTTCTGTGTTCAACACCAATGTCCTCTTAGCTTGGAGAATTTACATGACCTATTTCTTTCTTTGGGGGACCTGCATACTTTAATTCCTAGCAGAGGATGGGAATATTCAGAATGTGATTTTAAAGAGAAGTTAAAAATCTACTGAGTCATCCTAGTTAGAGTTGTCAAAATCATAAAAACAACAAATTAAAAAAAATTTTTTTAATTAAAAAAACTCACAGAAACAGCAAGTAGAATGGTGACTGTTGGTGGGGGATATTGCCTAATGGGCATAGAGTTTTTCTTTACAGTGCTGGTAGTGATGATTGCACATTAATTAATAAGACTAAAATGTATACTTAATGATAGTAAATTATATGTGTGTTTTACCACAATAAAAAGCATTGGCCCACATGAGCCTCAATTACTCGAGGCCAGGAACGGCTTTCACAGCAAAGGCAGGTGAAGCAGTATTGTGGCCATTCACTTTATCCTTTTCAGAATCTCAGTGCACTAAGCAGCCTATAGCCGGCAGCCACAGAGGCCAAGAACTTTCGAGCTAGTAACCACCTAGAGCAGGCATTTGCATTTTAGAATCCATTTGTAAAATGCTCTGAAGGTGCTATGAAATGCCTTGCCTAAATTTTTTGGCCAAATCACAGGTTGAAAGTGCAATCTATTAATAACTCTCTGTTCTTCCCCTCTCCCTTAGTGGTAGAAGGTAGGAAATTTGAGGACTGAATTGCCAGAACGATTTCGCTAGTTCAAGGAGACATGATTAAAAGAATTTGTCAGATACCGATGATATCAGGGATTTCTCTACATGCTCAGGCATTGCTTAGGCTGTGTGTTTTCTTGAACTTTTTGTAGGTTAAAAGGCTTGGAACAAGTTACCAAGGCCACTATGCTCGGTCACCTTCTCCCAGTGTTACTGACCTCCCTGATGCACCCCAATCTGCAGACCTTGACCATGGCCGACGCCCTGATGCCTCAGCTGGTACAGCTGGTGCTCTACACCAGCCAGGTGGGACCCCCAGCACCCCACTGACCTACTCTCCAGCCAGCCTGCATCATGGCGCAGGAGACACAACAAACATAATTATGCCATTCAGAAACCAAGAAAAACATCCTGCTCTAAAAACAAGCTAGAGTGTTAAGGGAACACATTTTATTGTTTTTGGATTAAATTACTGACTGTAGTCTTTCAGCAAGTTTTTGTTGTCAATAGGCTATAAAAAGGCTAATGTACAACACAACTGAAACCTACTACTACATTTATTCCTCGCCATCTAAGAGTAACCATTATCAATGTGTTAAATAAAATGGTGTTCAGTGGCCTCAGTAGCAACGCATTTCTTAGTGAAGGAAAGCAGACAGGGATTGCAAAAAGGTGATTCAAGCGGAAATTCTGTCTGTCTCTAGTACCATCCAGGTGACTGACAATAAGCACTTATAGATGCACCCATGGTTTTATGTTGCAGACGGCTTTGCTGCTAAAAACTCAGTGTCCAGTGTTTGCTGAAGTGGGCTGCTTCCCATGTGGCACATCCGACCAGAAGTGTAGGCTGTTCCCCGATGAAAGGTAATGGGACTGCTGCTTTTTTTTTTTTTTCTGGTGAAAGCCTTGTACTCCTTTTACAACAGTAATTTTTAGCAAAGATTATCTGAAAAAAGGAAAAAGATACAGGGTCAAAATTTTACAGATAGAATTAATTTATAGAATTATAGAAACAAGTTAGAATAAGTTTTCCCATGAATTAAGAGATAAATTCAAAACTGGCCCAAAAATCTCATACCCTAATGATGAGGATGTAAAATATTATGATTTAGGCAAACATTTTGGCAGGGGTTGTTTTGCATTGTGTGTGTGTGTGTGTGTTTTAAAGACAGGGTGGCACTATGTTGCTTAGATTGGCCCCCAATTCCTAGGCTCAAATAATACTGTCACCTCAACCTCATAAATAGCTGGGACTACAGGTAAGAGCCACTATGCCCAGCTGGAAGTTTCTTAAAAAAATTAAATATACACCTGCCATGTGACCCAGCTGTTCTGCTTTTAGGTATGCATGCAAGAGAAAAAAAAGAATAGGTTATTAGAAGATTCGACATGAAGGTTTATAAAAGCTTTAGTTAGAATAATTCGTGACTGGAAACACCAAATGTCCATCAGTAGGTGAATGGATAAACGAATTGTGACATATACATACAGTGGACTCCTACTGAGCAATAAAAGACATGAGCTCTTGATACATGCAACATGTGAATATAGGTGCATTTGTAAGTGAATCTCAGAATACTTAGCTCAATGAAAGAAGCAAGATTTTCCCAGGTCACATATTATATGTGTTAGTTAGCTTTCTGTCAGTGTGGCAAAAAAAAAAAAAAATAGATTTCAGCAGAATAACTTCAGGGAGAAAAAATTTATTTTGGCTTACAGTGTCGGTGCACATGGCTTTGTTGTTTCTGGAGCTGTGGTGAGGCAGAGGCAGAGTATCCCGGCTAGGAGGTATGGCAGAGTAAAGCTGCTCACCTCATGGCAGCCAGAAAGCAAAGTGAGAGAAGGGGCCAAGGACAGGATATACCCTTCAAGGACCTGCCCTCAGTTACCTACATTCTCTAACTAGGCCACACCTCTTGATGTTTCCACCACCTCTTCCTAGTGCCACCAGCTGGAGACCATGCCTTTAGGGGACATTCTTGATCCAAACTTTTAACACTATGAGATTCCATTTATATAAAGTTCTAGAATCTACAAACCAGTCATGACAGAAATATGATTGCCTCAAGGAAGGAGTAGCAGGATTACAAAGAGAAGAAGGAAACTTCGTGGTTGTATGCAAATGTCCAAACTTACCAAGTCAGATGCAAGTATCTATGAAACATATTTATGTTTCACTAAAGCTGTCTGTAAAAGTAATTGATCAGAAAGGAAGGATTTGCCCTGTTTCTCAAGAACAGTGTGCTATCCTATTGAACCTCAAGTTGTTTCCAGTTTTACAATTATGAAAACTTTTATCTGTGCTTTCCAACACCTTGCCACATGTAGTCAGGGAGCACTTGCACTATGGCCAGTGTGACCAGGGATGTGAATTTGACATCTTCCTTAATTTAAACTTAAATGGCTGCATGTGACTAACACCTACTATATTAGACAATACAGCTCTTCGGCTCCACCTACAGAGTTGAAAGAGAGTAAGAGAATAATTCCTTGGCAGCCAAATTTAGGACTTAGGAGTTTGTGTTCCATGAGCTCACACTCTAAAGACCTTGAGAGTTCAGTGATAGTAGGAAAAAGGGTTCTCGAAGATTCCTTTCTGTAACAGCAATCACGGTGAACAGGAGTCCCATAGACTCATGGATTTTCAATAGTTGGCATGTAGAAATGAACAAAAGGCAATTTCAAAGGATTTGGAAAATGGCCAAACCTAAAAGGTTTTTAACAGTGTCTGTTTTTTCCCCTGAGTAAATGAGAGTTAGTGAGGTCTTCTACTGGGTATCAATGGGACTTAGTCTTTAAAAATAAAATAGTATTCTAAGTTTATATATTCTAAATTTATATATTACTTTGTGAGTATACAGCATCTAACAGTAGCAAGGGGGAGAGACCCCTCAAATACAAGAAATGTTTAAATACTTCTTATTGCTAGTATTTAAAAGTCACAATGTGCCAAGGGCTATGGCACACACTTATTATCCCAGTGTCTTGGGAGACTGAGACAGGAGAATTCCAAGATCAAAGCCAGCCTCAACAACTTAACAAGACCCTAAGCAACTTAGCAAGACCTGTCTCAAAATAAAGAATAAAAGGGCTGGGGATGTGATTCAGTGGTACAGTGCTCCTGGATTCAATCCTTGGTAAGCCCCAACCCCCCAAAAAGTTACAATGTGTTATAGTGCACTCTGTGGGAAATTTAAGCGCATTTACTGAACTTGTTTCTGTTGCATTTCCATCTTGTTATTATTTTCTTTGCTGCTAAGCTAAGCCACTTTCTCCTCCTCTGGTTTTAGAATGCTGGAAGAAAAAGAGGAGCCAGGCTTCCTCACTGGCCTAAAGATTCCCGCCCCCTGGGCTGCTGGGAAAACCGTGGAAACAGTACACCCTGTCAGAGACAACTACAAGTTTAAAGAAACTGTCCATATCCCAGGAGCTCGCTGCCTGTATCTGAGATTTGATAGCAGATGCTCTTCACAATATGACTATGACAAAGTAAGCAAGCATTGGGTTCTTGTTGCTTCTGCCTAAGCTGATTTTTTTTTTTAGATGCTTCTTATTTTTCTTTGCTGCTGGTCACCATTCCTGACTTATTTCTGTCTCCAGATATCTTTTAGGAAGACTTTCCTAAAATAATGCCTTGAAGGGTAGTGATTGAGGGACTTAAGCGCCATCACCTCTGCAGCCTAACAACAGTGTTTTAATGGCAAGTTGAAAGCATACCTTTGTAAGCTTTCGGAAGCTTCACTCTGAGTCAAAGGGAAATTTCCTTTTATTCTGCTGACTTCCTGCCTTCCCTCTGTGCTTGGGATTCCTATAGATACCTTATGGTCATTCATCTGGAAAGGTCTTACTGCCCCATTCTTGGGGCTTCTCATGCATCTTTTTGGAAAAGGTGGAAGGGAATCAGATGTATTAAAGCTTTCTTTTATGTGTATTTACATTTTTGTTCTTCTTTGCTATTACTTCAGAGCCCACATAGATTTTGCAGAAGAGTAGTCCAACTTGGTGGTTTTACTGTTGCAAAGAATAGGAATTGCATTAGGGGTATTTTCTTCTATTGATAATTGTTTATTTATAAATCATGTTGAACTTCTGAGGAAAGGCTAATGAAACTAAGATAATATGAAAGAGCAACTAGATGATTAATAGCTTTGTACACACAAAATAACTGTCTACACGCTATTTTTATGTAGCTGGTTAGCTGTGTGTCATCTCTGTCCTCTGTGAATTCAGAGAGGACATGTGGTCTTAAATTCCACCAGGGGAGGTTTTTAGGTTAAATAAAGGCTTTCCTAACTATACTTGCCTTGAAGTGGTAAAACACATGACTGGGATTATTGATTCCCCACTACCTTTTAGTATAGTCAGGAGTCCCAGATGTCTGGAGGAGTTTAAGACTTCTCTCCAGAATTCACCTTAGCTGGGAGCAAGAAGCAAGAACATGGGTTTTGGTGGACCTTTCAAAATACATATCCCCTAGCATCAGTCTAGCCTGCTTCCTGGCTCCTGCCGTTAGCTACCCCCATTTCCTAGGTTTAAGTGAAGTGATTATTTAAAGTGCAAATGGAAGAGGTTGCCATTTTAGTTGGTGTCATTTTGTTTCTCCTTTAAAAATAGTAGTTTGCATCTTCTGATGTGCGCTAATTCATGCCCGCAGTGGACATTAGTGTTAGTGATGGAGCACGAAAGGCTTACTACATGGGTAAAAAGTACATTTACTTTTCTAGAGGTCCCTGGCTGGGGTCAGCAAAAGGGTAAGAAATCACAAAACGATAAACATCCAGGGCTAAAGACGCAGCTTTTAGATACAAACCTGGGTGCAGTGTAGGTAATCAGAGTGTACTGTGGGGACAGGGCTTGGTGTTGACAGAAGCCAGAGCTTTGTTTCTCCTGTGGAATTGTTGCAATGCCAAATGAGCTATCAGAGTTTCTCCTCCAGATTAGGAAGTCAGCCAGCTGGACATTAATGTGCAGCCTGTAAGGAAAAAAAGTCTTTGACACATGTAAGCTGACCTAAGAAGCAGCAGCCCCGTTTCTGGCCCAAATTTGTGTCATTTTCCTTTTATGCCATTAAGCAGCATTCTAATTATATATGGCTTATTTTCAATATGTTGCATTTTTTAAAATCCTATGTATTCATTGATTTTTTTAATGTTTTTATTTTGTTGTTATGTTAGATATTATCATCTTTCCATCTGTATTTGCTCAGTTTATTAATTTTGGGGAGGTCTTAAGGGGTCAAACTGTACCTATTATTAATGAGTTATATATTAATAATTAGGATTAAAAATAGCATTTGAAAAATGTATATGGATAAAAAAATTTAATATTTTAATGGAGATTCCCAAGCCAATTAAAGTGTGATAATATAAAAAAGTATATTTTTATGTTAATCATTGTTATTTCTCTGTGATTTTCCTGTAATACCAATGACTGACTGCTTTGACAGTAGTATCAGTTATAGCCAAAAAAATCAGGAAATATTAGTTATATTATGACACCAGTGCCTGGTTTATAAATGTGTTTTTAAACAAATATTTTTTGCAGCCTTTTTATTTGTAGATGTTGTTTTTGTTTTTCTTTTACAGTCTAACAGTCTATTTTCTGTTTTGAAGTTGGTGATATATGCGGGGCCTAACACAAACAGTAGGAAGGTTGCTGAATATGGAGGCAATACTCTGGGATATGGCAGCCGTAGTGTCTTAGGAACTGGTTGGCCGAAGGACTTGGTGAAGGTATGGTATCCAGTTATGGTCACTTTCTCGAAAAGAAAAGTGAACCTAAGTTCCTCAGGGACCCAAATGCCAACTATAGTCCTAGAACACATTTGTCATGGGGACTTTTGTTGAGGTGGGACCTTGCCAAACCTGTCAACTCATCCATTTCCCTTCAGAATGATCCTCCTTTCACTTATAGGATATCAGATCCCTGTCCACTCCAGAGCTGGGATCCCTTCCTCAGATCTCTCCATGGATGGAGGTTGTCATGGCATTTTCTTCCATGTTCATTAAAAGGTCTGCTAGTTCCCCAGACTTCCTGATGCTGAGTAGCCAGAACCACAGGCCACTGCAGTTTAAAAGTGTAGAGTTAATGTTTTCAAACGAATTAGGGCCTTTGGAGAAAAATAATGGCCCATTCTCAAATTGATGCGATTAGGGCCATGCTTTGTAATCTGGGCCCTTGAATTACTTATTAGTATGTGCCTAGAATGTGAATATGAACTCAGAAGTCCATCAAACCCCAAAATGTCTCCCAAGTCTGTTTCTAATCCCTTATTGACAAATATTATGTACCCTTGTAACTCAGCCAGAGACAGCTGATGATCTCCAGGATGTAGTCTGGTTGCACTCAAATCCGGATCAGCACCCTTCGTGGTTGCTCTCTAATTCACTGCCTCTGCTCCTTACTTATGGAACTGGTTCCCTATCACAGAGCCAGGCCTCCCACCACAGAGTTCTTCAGGAGAGCTTGTCATCTGCCTGCCTTCTTGACCCAGTGAAGTGGGGAAGAGGCAAAAAGAGAGCAGAAAGAATAGAAATATGAGAAACTCATTAGGATTATGCTCAAGATTTGACTAATCTTTACTCTGAGCCTACTGTTGGGCAGTCATAGCCCATTTCACAGATGCCTTGTCCCTAAGGCTGCTTGGTCAGAAGGGACACTTAAAAGGTTGACGTCTAAATGAGAGGGAATGAAATTTGAATCAAAAAGCAAGTGAGAAAAGGAGTGAGACATTTCTGTGGTCCTTTGGAAAGTAAATCTCTAACATTCATTGCTCTCTTGAAAGTTATATGTCTTGTTTTTAAAGTGTATTTTCCCCCCTTAAATTTTAAGGTGGAAGGAGATACAGTCACCTTCTCCTTTGAAATGAGAAGTGGCCGTGAACACAACACTCCTGATAAAGCTATGTGGGGCTTTGCGTGCACAGTTCGCGCTCAGGTACTTGAACCTAACCGCTGCTGTGGGAAAAATGTACTTTCTCCTATATGCCTTGATTACATACATCATATTTGCCTTGGAAACAGGGCCGCTTTCCATCCATCTCTTCCATCTGCCTGTAGTAAATTGCTATTAGTAATAGTTTTATGGAGTAAAATGAACTGTGACTTAAAATCAGTTCAGCAACACAGAAATAATTCATAGCCAGGGGCTCCATCTTCAAGACTTGGAGAGGTGCCCTAACTCTGGCATCTGCTCATAGGGCAAAGAAGATTCCAACACTCAGTAGAAAGGAAGTACTTGGGTTCTGTGTTTTAAGAGTAATAGGGGAGGGGCTGGGGATGTACTTGCTAGCATGTGTGAGACACTGGGTTCCATACCCAGCACCATATAAAAATGAACAAATAAAATATAGGTATTGTGTCCATCTACAACTGAAAAAAACTTAAAGAAAAATAAAGGTAATAGGAGTTCCACTGAGCCCTTTAGTTGCTGAATTTAAAAAAATATATTTTGACTAGGAAGTTGCTTAAGTCAAACACTCTCTAGAGGGGAACTGTTTGCTAGAATGTAAGCTTCATGAAGACAGGGATCTTTGTTTTGCCCTGTGCTGTATCTCAGGCACCTAGAAGAAGAGCTGTACACCCAAGGCCCTCAAACATTTTCTAATGAACTCAGTACAGTCACTGTAAGCATTGTGGTTTGAGCACAGGACTGAGATGACAAAAAGAAATAGTGATTTGTGAGTGGAAGGGCACAGCAGGGAGGGAGCTACTGAGACAATCTGGGCTCCTTGCACATGGTTCATGCTGTTTGTGATATGCAGTCCTGTCAGCTATTCTCTCTCCAGAATTGTGATGCAACCTCACTCAGAGGTCATTCCAGTATGGCCACCTACTGTCGATGTTGGGTGCTGGACTTGGGTACCATAGGGATGACACCCAGTGCCGCTCTGTGAATCCCCATGGTAGGGATGGTGCAGACCAGGTTGCAAGCTCTGTCGGTGTCCACTGACCAGTGTGGTTTGCCTGTCTGCATTGTAGGAGTCCTCGGAGGACGTCTCAGGAGGCCTGCCCTTTCTGGTGGACCTGGCTTTAGGTCTGTCTGTGTTAGCTTGTTCCATGTTAAGAATCCTGTACAATGGACCAGAAATTACCAAAGAAGAGGAAGCCTGTCAGGAGCTTTTGCGGTCCAAACTTTTACAAAGGTAATGAAAAGGTTCAAATTGAGCTTGTTTTGCCCACAAAGAAAAAAGAACTTTATGTGGAAAACGACTTTTTATACATTTCTCTACTAATTGTGCCTATGGCCTGACCATCTCATTGGTTTTGGGTCTGAGGAATAAGAAAATTACACAATGGTGCTTTCTGACCCTTGCATTACTAAATTTAAATTTATGTCTTTGAACTGCCTAAGTTTTTTTTCCAATGCAAATAGTGTGACATTAAATTGAGGGATCCCCAAAAGGATGGGTAGATACATGATAAACCAATATGATAGTGTAAATTGTAGAATCTAGGCAGTTGATATGTGGATATTTACCCTGTAATTCTTTCAATTTTTCTGTATGTTTAAAGTTTCAGAATAAAATGTTGGGGAGGAGGTAAATTCGCAAAAATGTGCTTTCATACATTGCTCATTTTTCTTTAGCCTCTTGAGAAGGTTTGATGAATAAATATCTAACACATCAGCTCCTTCATATGTTGATATATCTGCAAGCAGCAAGTAGCTTTCTAGTAATCTTGATCTGAGAGCATGAAGAGCCTCTTTATTGTCTGCCTAGGTGCCAGTGGCAGGTGGAGGCCAATGGCGTCATCTCGCCTGCCCTCACCCCAAGCCCCTCTCCACTGCCTCTGACCATAGAGGAAGACCGAGAGTTCACCTACCCCTCAGATGTCCTCGTGCCTCCTGTTGGGAACTACTTTGACCTGCCCCGGATCCGGCTGCCTCCAGGAATCATGATAAAGCTCAGGGAAATTTCTGGGCGAGCTAGACCTCAATTTAGACCAAGTATAAAGTATGTTGCATTTTTCTCTCCCCAATGGCAAAAAAAAAAAAAAAAAAAAAAAAAAAAAAAAAAAATTTGGACTATGGAAGGGGTTATATTTCTTCTCCTGGTCTAGCAAATGAATCTTAAATTGTATGTTAACTTAGGGCTGGGGGTGTAGCTCAGTGATAGAGCACTTGCCTAGCATGCACAGGGCCCTGGATTTGATATCCTGCTCTACCAAGAAAAAAAAAATTTTTTTAAATGTTATGTTGATGTGAACTGAGAACTCCGGAGAGCTCACCCCACCAGGTAGTATTCTAGTTTGTGATTTTTCAAAGTGATCTGCAGCATTAGCATCACCTAGGAATTTGTTGGTGGTTGGGTCTCTTTTTCACACCTACTGAGTCAGAAACTCTGAGGATGGAGCCCAGTTAACTGTTTCTTAACAGGTTTCCCATGTGACTCATGAACACTAAAATTTGGCAAGTTCTAGGTTTTTCTCTGGTAGTTTGACCTTCTACTAGTACTCAGCCCCTACTTTGATTAGAGTCTAGAGCCATGTCTTCATTTTTTAAAAAATATTTTTTTAGTTGTTGATGGGCATTTATTTTATTCATTTATTTATATGCAGTGCTGAGAATTAAACTGAGTGCCTCACACATGCGAGGCAAGCGCGCTACCACTGAGCCATGACCCCAGCCCCATGTCTTCATTTTTGATTCCTGCAAAAGTGGCAAGCATGAGGGGCTGGGGTTGTGGCTCAGCAGTAGCATGTGTGAGGTCATGGGTTTGATCCTCATCACCACATAAAAATAAGTAAATAAAATAAGGTATTAAAAAAAAAAAAGTAGCAAGCATGAAGGCTCGCAGTTTCAAATGTATTTGTGGTGTTCTTGTTTTATGTCTGTTTTGCAGCCTTTGGCCTGCCTTCCTAGGCAAGACTGGCCACTTCTGAGACAAAAATTTAGAATGGTTGAAATTCAAAATGAATACAGAAAACACTATTATTTTTATTCTAAATATCCATATGCATTAAATATCACAATTCTTAGTACTACGTAATATTAATTAGTAGCTAAATGATTCTAAGGATCTTTTTTTATCCTTAGACCTATTCCAATTCCGATGACTCTAGCTCAAAATATACAAATCATAATAAGGGGAAGCATCTTTAATTTTGATTTTTCAGCTTTATTGGCTAATAAAACTGAGTTTTATCAGTGAATATGCTGTATTACCTGTCAACATACAGCCCCACAATGCACCATTGATACACATGTAATATTGTAATAAAGGAAATATGCCAAATATTTAATGTGTTTAAATCAATTCCTGCATTCTTCAGCATACAAAGTACAGTACTAGTAAATTGAGAGCCTGGAAAATACCTGACTCACATCCATTGTAATCCCAGGGAAGTGATTCAGCCAGATGTGATGGAGGAAATGGTGGTATCATGTGTTATTAAGCACTTGAACTTGGTCGATGCACTGCAATCCCTAATAAATTTCCAATATCAAGAAGAACATGCTGAGGAATATGACTTACTATGTAAAATTATGGGAGAGACCTTTAAGAAACTCAATGCCATGGAGAGACAGCTGCAGGTAAGTGAAAGCTAAGATGTTTTTACCCATCTTAAAACTATTAGAAGTAACTTTCCTGGAAAGTTAGAGAAGTTTGAAACAGGATAAAACATTTTTAAATTACTGTTACAAAATCAATGTCTGAAGTTGCATATTGCCTTTGTTTTCATTTTGCTTCTGTTCACCCACTGTTTTATTTTTGTCTCTGTTAGAGTGTTGCAGAACTGGAACAGAAGTGGCAAAGTGAGGTTGATGATGCCATGCAGGGGAAACTGGAGAACAACATGCCTTTCTTTTATGATTACCATTTTAATGAGGTGAGCAAAGGATGTGATTTACCATTGGGGCTTTGCCATTATGAAAGAGAGGCATAGCCATGTGTGTGCAGAGATAGTGTCACTTTCTGAACATGCCAGGAATGCACTCATTCTTTAAAAGGATCAAATGAAAATTGATTAGAACAACATGTCAATAGTCATGTCGATATATAAATAATTATTTTCAATTAGTTTTAAAGTTTAAAGAAATGATCATTATTATCAAAATTTTCTTTCAAGTCTTGAAAAACAAAACACAAGCAGAGTAATAATCCCCAGAGAAATCCTCAGAAAGCAACCCATGTCATTTTTAACCATTAGAATATCAAACAATAACTTACAAATGTGCTTTAAGAATAGACCTATGGGGGCTGGGGTTGTGGCTCTGTGGTAGTGCACTTGCCTTGCACATGTGAGGTACTGATTTGATCCTCAGTGCCACATAAAAACAAATAAATAAAGATATAAAGATATTGTGTCCATCTACAACTAAAAAAATATTTGAAAAACAAAAAAGAGTAGAACTATGGACCAAAGGTGGTAGTTATTCCCTGACCTTTTCTGTTCCTTTTAACAATAAAACTTGGTTTCTGCAGATCTGCATACCATCTTTTCTTGATTTTTCCTTCTTTAGAACAAAATGAAAGAACTAGAACTTTTGTGTTCAATGAAGGAAGTCTCCTTTGATGGAAATGATCTTGAAAACATGGTCCTATCACTGAGGTTAGTGATGTTAATAACTATTAAAACTAATTTATCACCTTGATGCTCAAAACAAATTGTGAAGATCTAGTCTTTTGATAGATTCTTTTGTAAATGTCATACAGTCCTCAAATATTTGAGAGTTGGAACTCATTTGGTAAACTGGAAGTTTTGATTTAAACCTTCAAAAGGCAGCATAGGCTTTGAGAACAGGAAGGGGAACTAAAAGTGATCAGAGTTTATAGTCACTCCCTTTGGATACAGAAAGGGGTGGGTAAGCAATGTTGATGAGGTTTGTTTTGCTTAGTTTCCTCCCATCTTCTCTGTCATTTTAATAAAACATGGTTTTGGTAAGCTAGAGGACTAAGTGCACATCAGTCTTTCTTTATAGGGAGAAGTTCCTACAAGAAGTGAATTCTCTTATTCAGAAGCCCTCTCATCCACTGGCTAAAACGAAGACATTAGTGAAGAGTCTAATGAACCGCGCTGAGCTGCTGCTGCATGTCACCATTGCGGCCCAGTCTGGCCTCACCAGGAGCATCTCGGGAACCCCTGCAGAGACACCGGGTACTCTCTAAGACCCCTTCACGTCTTCTGGTGCCACTGTGCTTATAATGTAGATATCAGCAACTTTGTCAAGAATTCACTCCAGGGTACTCCTAGAAAGAAAGAAACAAACAAAGGGGGGCAAAGGATTATACAGGTGTTGGAGAGAGACGTGTACTGAGTGTTGGTATGATCACATGCCAAGGAGGTCCAGTATACTTACCACTTCCTGGCCATGTACACCTAGATTGATTGAGGTTTCTGTGTGAAGACCTGAACCACTCAGTAAGGCTTCCAAACGGCTCTTGACCTCTGAAATGGTGAACCAGTAGTATCTTCAAGACTTGAAAGATAGAATTCTATAAATTTAATTCTTCAAGAATTATTAGATTTAAGTTTTCTAACTACTCTTTAGACAAAATGACATTTCCACTTTTTCAACATTGTTTTTTCTTAGCTGGTTTTTACCTATAGTTTTGTCCTCTTCCATTTACATGTTCTTTTATAAAACAACCACTTCCTTGATATGGTTAAGGAATATCCAATAGATAGGGTCAGTCCCCTTCCAGCTCAAGTATGATATTTACTCCTATCAACTATAATCAAAGGAGAGCAATCACCCAATGGCAATTAATAAATCTAGAATTAAAAGGAGACAAGGGCCATCTCTGGAAACAATGTATCTGGATTTATTTGAATCAAGAAATTAGTGCTGGGCTGGGGATGTGGCTCAAGCGGTAGCGCGCCCGCCTGGCATGCGTGTGGCCCGGGTTCGATCCTCAGCACCACATACAAACAAAGATGTTGTGTCCACTGAAAAATTAAAAAAAAAAAAATTAAAATTAAAAAAAAAAGAAATTAGTGCTTCCAGAAGTTACTCCCTGTGTCCTATATTGCTTTTTATAATGTTTGTACTGAAAAGAACATTGATAGTTACAAAATAAATTGGCCTAAAACTCATCAGTGCTGTGCTAACTGGACTGATGGCTGAGCCCATTGCCAAACACCATTTGGTAGTTCTGTGTTACATTTAGCTGTTGCAGCTTCTCACACATTGGATAGCAGGAAGTTTAACCTTGTCCTCTTTTTGTTCCAGCTTGTAAATCAGCTTCTGAAACAAAGGTGATATCTCATGCCGTCCGGCAGCCTGTTTTTCTCCGTAGTATGTCGGCTCCTTCTGACCTAGAAATGATTGGTAATGAAGATTTGGAATTTACTAGAGCAAATCAGAGGTAAATGGCTAATGGCCAGGGTTGGATTCCCACATGCTGCTGAATGTGTTGATTGAAACAACACCCCCTCCCCCTCCCCACCACGTATCTTGTTTGATCAATGGCTGGTTTGTCTCTCCTGTAGGCGTCGACATGTGACCAGCCACCGCAGCAGCTCCTTTACACTCCTGCAATCGTTGGCCATTGAGGACAGCAGGGACAAGCCCACCTATAGCGTCCTGCTGGGGCAGCTGTTTGCTTTCATTGGCACCAATCCCGACCAAGCTGTATGTCACATTTTGCAGACTACAGATGAAAAGTTCCTGACAGCGCGGAGGGTCTTGTGACAGCAGGAGTCAGTGTTCTTCCTTCTCGTGCCTTTCAGGTGTCCAGCAGCAGCTTCCTTCTTGCTGCACAGACGAGGTGGCGGAGGGGAAACACACGCAAGCAGGCCCTGGTGCACATGCGAGAGCTGCTCACGGCTGCCGTGCGCGTTGGGGGAGTGACACATCTTGTGGGGCCAGTGACCATGGTCCTCCAGGGAGGACCCAGGTCAGTTGTTTCTGTTAATAAATGGCAGTTAATAAACCTAGGATTAAAAGGAGACAAAGGCCGTCTCTGGAAACAGTGGATCTGAATTTATTTGAATCAAGAAACTAGTGTCCTCTCCAGAATGGGCAGAGCTATTCAAAGGTCACTGTCAGGCTGAGAACATAGGCAGTGGCATTTGCTGATGTTTTCCCCTAGAATATTCTATTTTTATAGACATGGCACTTGATTTTGCAAAAATCTCAGTATATATAACAGAATGTAAGTGTCTATGTGTTATTCTATTCGGTGAGAGTTTGTTGTATCAATACTACATGTATAAATGGCTATTTAATTCTCTTTGCACATATAAGAGTATATCATTTTTTCCATAAGTCAGATCGTATTCTATATGCCTTTCTATAATCATGATTGTTTCACTCATATCTTGGTTATCTGTCTTTTCACATCAGTACAATAGGTCTATTTTGTCCCTTTTTTTGGTACTAGGGATTGAACTCAGAGTGTTAACCACTGAGCCACATGCTTAGCAGCCCCCCACTTTTTAGTTGTAGATGGACACAATACCTTTATTTATTTACTTTTATGTAGTACTGAAGATCAAACCCAGTGCCTCACACATGCAAGACAAGCATGCTACCATTGAGCTACCCTAGTCCCCCCAACCCTTTTTATTTTTTTATTTTGGGCCAGGGTATCAATAAGTTGTGGAGGCTGGCCTCAAATTTGCAATTCTCCTGCCTCAGTTTCCCAAGTCTCTGGGATTACGGAGTGCACCACTGTGTCTGGCTAGAAGGGTTTTTTTTGTTGTTGTTGCTTGTTTGTTTTAGAGGGTACTGGGGATTCAACTCTGGAGCACTTGGCCACTGAGCCACATCCTCAGCCCTACTTTGTATTTTATTTAGAGACAGGGTCTCACTGAGTTGCTTAGCACCTTACTTTTGCTGAGGTTGGCTTTGAACTCATGATCCTCCTATCTCAGCCTCCTGAGCCACTGGGATTACAGGTGTGCACCACTATGCCCAGCTAGAAGAAGGTTTTGTAGCTCTTTTGGGAAGAGTTTTTCTGTATGAGTTTCCTGCTGGGCTTCAAAGATCCTCAAGTAGAAATAGAAAAGGCATTTCTCTACTTGTCCTGAATTAGGATTGCTGGTGGCTGCTTATGCCTCCTGGCAATTCTTTGAGGAACTGTGGACAACAGGAGAGGGTCAGGTAGAGAAAGATGTGTTAACTAAGAGTTAAAGTGAATATCTTGGGAAATTTCTTGTCGATTGGAAGAGGCCAGGCAATTCACTACTTCCTGGCTCGTGGTCATCAGGTAGCCACAGAGACCACAGTCCTGAGAGCAGTTGTTTCCTTGTCAGAGCTCTGGCTCATCATCTCTACTGGCCACAAGCCCTCTCAGCCCTGGGGTGCCCAGAGGGAGGATTCAGGGAGGAGCACTGGTGGGCACCACAGCTGCTTCCAGAGTTAGTTCTCTATAACACAGCAGCATTCTCCTTTCTCTACCCCATTTTCAGTGTCATTTGTAGAATATATGAAAAATGCAGAAATTTCTAAAAATTAAAATAAAAGCCACCTGTAAATCCATCATTCTAAAATAACATCTGCTAATATTTTAGTGTGTTTGTTCTTTGTTCTGTCAGTATCATCTCTGATGTTTTGGGGGATTGTGTAGCATTGCATCATATTCTTTAACCAATTCCCTATTATTAAACCTCACCTTAGTTTTACTTTTTAAAATTTTTGCTAGCATAAAATATTATATTGCATATTTTTGAAGATAAATCCAGATTGCTTCAGTTCTCAGTTAATATTAATTTCTGTAGAATTGATCCCATCTTGAGTTTTTACTTTTGAAAGTCTTATTTCACATCAACAGGCATCCCATACCCTGCTAACAGTTGAAGTATAAACTTTTTTTGGGGGGGTACCAGGGATTAAAATCAGGGGTACTCAACTACTGGGCCACATTCCCAGTTCTATTTTGTATTTTATTTAGGGAACAGGGTCTCACTGAGTTGCTTAGTGCCTTGCTTTTGCTGAGGCTGGCTTTTAACTTGCAATCCTCCTGCCTCAGCCTCCTGAGCCGCTGGGATTTCAGGCTGTACCACCGTGCTCATCTGAAGTATAAACTTGAAAAAGACTCTTAGCTAATCTATCTGGGCCTTGGTTTTCTCATACAATTGCATTTATAGAATTCATGCTGCATGGGATGTTGTGGACTTATCTCTAATAATGGTTTCTTTATCAAATGGCTTTGGTAAATATTGAATACTATTTTTCTGCTCTTAGAGATGCTGTGTCCTTTAAATTTATTAGAAGTTCTGCAGTAAAGGACCCTATTGAACTTTCTCTAAGCCAGGGTTTCCTGGAGTTTTCTTGAGTGTGGGCCATGATGTTTGAGGCACATTCAGAAATCTTGACCAGTGGTCTTCTATGGTCCAGTAGTTTATCAAACACCAAGTTTGATGATCTCCAAGGTCCCTTCAGTTCTGGATTTATCTGGGCATTCTGGGTTTCTGGAAAGAACTCTTTTGCTCCCCTAACCCCAGTCACTGTTCTCGACATGTTCAGGAACGCTATCCTTGGTTTCTGTGTCACAGGATTGAAGAGCTCACCTGTGGTGGGATGGTCGAGCAGGTTCAGGAAGCCTTTGGCGAAACCATGACTTCGGTCGTGTCGCTGTGTGCCCGTTACCCTATCGCTTGTGCAAATAGCATTGGACTCTTGTGTACTATACCTTACACCAGGTAAGCATGGAAATGCCCTTTATTCCTTTATTGTATATAAATTGTGCCATAAGAGTTTATTAAATAAAAATTTATAAAATTGAATTTATAAAATTGAATTTTTTATTTGATTATTCAATACTTAACAAATAAGTTTTCCTCCTGACACACAAATAAAGTTCCTATGTAAATTCCTTATGATTGAGTTTCTGCCATTAGGATTATATTACATTATAAAGATAGGGAGGTTCAAATAAAAAAAATAAGTCCTTGGGAAATTACTTATACACTTGGCAGGATTCTATTTTTTTTTTTTCCTCCTTTGGGAGGTGGTGGCTACTGTTCTTGAACTTGCAGTCCTCCTGCCTCAGCCTCCTCAGTCAGTGAGATTACAGGCATGGACCACCACACTGGCAGGAATTTTTTGGATAGATGCATTTATTTCCTCTCTTGGATCATATAGTAGTTTGAAGACGTCAAGTGCTTATGGAGTTATTCTTTGACTCCCCTTATGATAAAATATATTATTTTTTTCTCTCATGGCATCCATTGTATTGATTCCATCAAGTTTTGCTTTGCTGTTCTGTATGAACAAATGAGAATTTGAAGTTCCTTATTTAGGAAGGAAGTCACCATTATGAGAAAATAGTTCTGTGTTAATTGCACATGGCACTGTCCTCAGTTGTTGACAAAGAATTACACCAACCTGTGTCATGCACCTTTGATAATCTGAACTTCCTGCGAGTTTCCCTCAGTTGGTCAGCTGCGTCTCCTTCACTGTGTCTATGCCCCTTATCAGGAGTGAAGAGAAGTGCCTGGTGCGCAGTGGCCTTGTCCAGCTCATGGATCGACTGTGCAGCTTGAGCAGTCAGACCGAGTCCAGCTCCAGTGAGAAACAAACCAAGAAGCAGAAAGTGGCCACCATGGCCTGGGCTGCCTTCCAGGTGCTGGCCAACCGCTGTGTCGAGTGGGAAAAAGAGGAAGGTGAGAAACTTCCTACTCACCAGTTTCTTGTGTTGGTGAATTGTGTGTTGTGTGTGCGTGTGTGCTGGATGGGGCTTGGGAGAAAGGCTTTGTTAAATCACAGGACTGGATGGGCTTTCATGGAGGCCTTTCCGCAGCACGGCTCTGTGAAATACAACTGTGCTGTAGCACCAAGTGACATCCTAGCACTTTCAAGAGGTGTGGCAACCCCAGAAAATTGAAAGGATAATTGTCAACACTGTTAACAGGCCCTATGTAGACAGGTTTATGAAATAGCTGTTCAGTTGCATTTTTAAGAGGATATTTTGAAATTATATTTTTAGTGACCAATCTGATTTAAAAAGTAAATGTAAGGATGAATTCCCCACAGTATCCCAGGTCTTTTTTTTTTTTTTTT